GGCGCAAGTATTATTTTATATATTTTCTACAAAAGGAGTTCCGGCGTTTTTTTCTTTCGTAGTTCACTGTGAACTGGCATCCCCTACTCTACATACAGCCTTGAGTATTACGCGAGAATCTAGAAGACCTGATGTAGACAATTAACGAGTAATACTTCCGCATTCACCAAGAGCGCGTCCTGTTTGTTTCCAGAGGCCGCCACTTCTCAGCGCGGTGCCCCCGCCCCCCCCCGCCCAGCGACACTTTACTTTACTTGCGCGCACAACCCAGGAAAGCCCCTCCCCCTCCCCCCAACGCTCTTAGTCGCGTCACGCGCAGAGCCCACGGGCGAAGGCGACATCCCGCTCCGTCCGGCACGCGGCCACAACGCCGCCTCCGCGCCGTCCGCCGCTCCGCCGCCACCAACGTTGCCTCCGCCCCTGCTGCCGTGCCACACCGCCACACCACCGGCCGCCGCCGCTACCGTTCACACTGCCATGCCTCGTCACTCCACCGCCAGAAGCCGCCGCCACCCGCCGCCACGGCCTGTACACCTCCCCACCTGCCACCGCTCCGCCACCGCCGCCACCGCCGCTGCCCGCCTCCACCATGCCAATGCTGCCGCCACTCCACCCCACCCACCGCCGCCGCCGCCGCCTGCCACACTACAGCCACTGTCACCCCACCTCCGCCAACCGCCACAACATGATCCACCACTCCACACCAATGCCCCCAACAGGCTTCGCCACCGCCCCACCTCCCCAACCACCGCCGAGCCAACCGTTGTCACCGTCACCACTACCCTTGCTTGCTGCACTCCGCTGTCACCGACCGCCTTACTACACCGCACCGCCGCCACGCGCCGCTGGTGCCGCGGTATGTCAATGGTGAAATACGCGGTACCGCTCGCCCGGGAATCCTTGACATATCGCGAATGCTCTTCCATTTCAGTGGCAGAACTTGACCATTTCAATAAAAGAGTTTGTAGTCCTAGACAAGAAGGTCGTCTAAGCGATTGAGGAATGGTCAGTCGGTGTAGCGTTCCATGCGTAGGTGAGCGACGGGGCTTTTTGTCCCCTTTAGATCTTAAGTTGAAATCGCCGCGCGGTGACCATTTTTCATGGTTGGAAACATTTTGCTGGTTCATGTATTATTAGAATATTTTCGTAGCGGTTACAAAAAATGCGAAAACATTCGTGTGTTATAGCAAAACTATTTTCTCAGATATTTCGAATTATGTACCAATTGGTTTCTCTGCTCTGAAATATTTGTGTGACGAGGAATATTGCAAAACACTTCTGGAGTTTCGTAGATGCAAGTGTCAGAGAAATAATAGACCATAATAAATAATAGACAATCAACAAACAACGAAATAGATGATCTGGTGAAAGACAACTTTATATATAACATATAAGACAATATAATATAACTTAGTGTTGTGGACAGTATTCCATTCTTCGAATGCTAGGCGGAAGATGCACGCACCGAAATAAGGGGTCACTGGAGAGATTTGCGATTGTATAGTTCCGTAAACTGTCGATGCTTTTTTTATGCTTCTGGACGTGGCATGTCTTTCCCTTGCCTGTATGGCGAGATTCAGGGCCGACTTAAAACGTCCGCTAAGCAGTATTTGCCCAATTATGTATCTCGCGACCAGCCGAGGCACCGCCTAGTTGACACAGTTCTAAGCTCCCGACCGGTCTACCCGGCTTGTGTGATGGTGTAGTGCATGCTAAGTAATGTGTGTTGAAGAGGTAAGATAGAAAGGAGCGGAAGAAAGGATCGCGCGCCGGCTTCGTGGCCCGTTTTGTTAGGTACCACTATGGGTTCGACCTGGATGTGTTGAGCCAGAGAAACCATGGAAACTGCCCGATCAGGAGAAGACGACCAACTAAGAATTTCCAAGGACTAGATTCGACCTTTAGCTGACAAGTAGTTTTGACAATCCTGTTCACATGTCGAGACTCCGAAGCCTAGGACAAATCCGGTCGACATTGCGAGTGAATTCAAGAAAGCGAGTAACCGAGAAGTGAGTGACGAGATTAGTGATAGAGAAGCTACGATCGGAGATGCGAGTGATATAAAATACATAGTGATCGAGAATCATTGATACTGATCGGAGGGGCACTAATGGACATGCGAATAAACGAGATGCGAGAAACCGAGATGTGAGCTGACTGAGTTGCGAGTGATTTCGGTATAGCCAACTGAACGAGATAAGACGAACGAGATTTGAATGATCATAACCGGTTATCGAGATAGCCATCGTACTTCGCGCAAGAAAGGACCCGCTCAGTGAATCACTTCGTGGAATCCGAATGAAGATTCTCGTCCCAGAACTCTCGCAAACTACCTTTAACCGGCGGTGGCTCTTCCCGAGCCTCTCCCGTGCTACGCTTCACGCCCTCAGACCAAGACTGTTCTCTGGGCGCTGTTCGCCCTGGGCGACGGCGGCCGCGGGGCGCCCGAATCGGTGCCTGCTCGCCGATGTGCGTTGAGCGTCGCGCGTGCGCCATCAGAATGCGCCTAACAGGGTCTGG